AATGATGTCAAAATTATCATCCTTAAATTGCCATTATTTTTCATCTAAAAATTCATATTTTTTACAACTGAGAATGTCATTTCTTTATATGAAACTTCCAACATCATGGCATTTTCGGAAATAATATTGCTAAAAATGACAACATTTGGAAATCCATTCAAAAAACATGTCATTAAAATATTGACATCTTGATATAATATAATGACATAAAAATGACATTTTTCTAATAACAAGCATTTATGGCATTTTCATAAACAAATCTAATCAAAACTAAAAAAAAGTAATAAAAATCCAAATCCAAATATTTCCGATCATGACCGTTCGTCGAATTGTAGTTTTTATCTCAAGCTTTCATATCCAAAAGAGTATTTTTGATTTATAATCTGAAATAGTAAATGAATTAACAATAAACAAATTTAAAAATGAAGAAATAAGGATCTGGAAGAAGAAGGTGAGAAGAAGAGGAGGAAGAAGAACGAAGAAGAAGAAAGAGGAAGAAAGGAGAAGGAAGAAGAATGGAAAGAGGAAGAAGAGATTACCTGGTGCGCTCTATCGGACCGGATTATGCGGCAATGTAATCGTCGATGGTAGTCTGCTGGTTGAGTACTGGAGCGATAATCATTAAGGGTATTTTTGTCTAATTAGGTAATTTGTAGTCCTAGTTTTGCATTTGTTCCAAGTTTTAGTCTTATTACGGTCATTCTCTCAACTTTTTTGGTGAGGCAAGTACGAAAAAAGTAATTACATTTATTAAGAGCCCGTTTGGTAGTTTACACATTAAAACTTTACATGTAAAGTGATTACATGTAAAGTTTAGGGCCGTAAAATAGTTTGCGCGTAAAATAGAAATGCATCATTTGGCATGTATGTAATCTACTTTTAAATTACACGCAAACCCTTTACATTGTACGTAGAAAATAACTACATAACTCATTCAACGTGCCAGAGAACTTCTAATTAACCTGCAGAGAACTTCAATTCTAATTGATGATTGACCTGAAACTTTTAATTTTGAGAACTACAAAATTGTAACTTTATTTGAAGGATTAATTCCAATGTCAAAGATTCTCCAAATTCCAAATCCCATAAAGGTTCGCTCCTGGAAGATGTCGAAGAAGAACAATGGTGTGTCTTCCCTCTCCTTTCCTATAGGTGATCCCTGATTATTGAAAAAGGCAACATGATAACAGATGAGTGATGGGTCTGCTAGCCAGCGTTCTAGGTCTCAATCGCAATTCAATGTTCCGTATGTTTATTCTTGCTCCAATAAATGGACGTAAACTATTTTACTACCTCCTACCCACGTAAACTATTTCACGTGTAAAATGCTTTTAAAAAGTGACTTACAATTTGCACTAAATAATTAAAACAATCGATGTAAAATGTTTACTTCCCCACACTTTACACGCAAAGTGTTTACTTTACGTCATAACAAACGGGTCCGAAGTAGTTTGAGAGCTTCTCTTCAAGGTTATAAACTTTAATCTTGAAATCGCATTTGAGGGCGACTTTAAAGTTGGAGTCGCACTCTTTAATTATGGTCCTATAGTAAATTAGTAATCATAGCTAAGACTTCTTGTAATAGCCTTAAGAGCATTTGAGTTCTTTCATATCTCCATCGTGAAGAAGAAAAAATTACCCTACCTTAGAAAATTGGAATCTTTATCAACATGGACTGAAAATGGTTACATATTTTGAAAAATGTGAAATTACATAATATTCTTAAAAGAATGACAATGTATAAGTAATAATGACAGTCATTTCGAATGTTATTACCATGAAGTGCAAACGTCCTACCATTCATTTAGTGAAAAACTAAGTAAGGGAAGAGTTGTAAAAGTATCAAAAGTTACACATGTCTAAAGGTGAATATGATATTTGGGTAAATATTATGGTCGATCAATTTGAGCCTTTGTAGAAGATACATGATTCATTGTTTGAGATACTTGGTTCATTCGAAACCGACTTAACTTAATATTTATGATTGAATATTTTGAAAATGTAGAACATATTTGGGGTTATTTTAAATCAATTTAATACCTAAACATACATTATGTACAATATTCATTGGTTAATCTAGTGTAAAATTCTGATTAGCAGTAGTATGTTTTTTAAACCCTTAGGTCGATCACGTTTAGTCAACCAATACATTGGTAATATGACGCCCAAGTTTACTCGACCATTGTAACTCGACCGATATAGTCAACATATTTTTAGTTGACTAGTTGTTTATTTATTGTTTATTGTGCATATTCCTTCCCTATCTCCACTTGTTGACAACTTACAATTTTCATCTATTGCAGAATGAGTAGAACCCCTTGAGGGAAACATTTACATTATGTACAATTTATGCAAGAGTGGTTTGAGTAATAATGGTGATGGAGTATATGGACTCCGACCCCCCGGTCTGCCGACTATTGGGCCTGGACAGCGGCCCACACACGTTTTGCGCATTCATATTATTGTACATTACTATTATTAAGATGTTCTAGATTAGCTTTTTATACTATCAGTCCATTTTTGTAACCGGGTCTGTCAGGCTCATATTAGAGGCCCAGACCCGGATTTTCCCTATATATACTCTTTATAGGAGGCTTGTAAACCATAACCAATATTAATTCATTCTATACACTTTCATTATTCTTTCTCCATTCTTGTTCAATCTCTCCTTAGTTATAGGATATGGATATCAATTATCCAACAATGGTGCTTTCATTGAGGGAATAAGGGGAGTATTTAGAGGATTTTGTGGGATATACAAATCAATTACTGATTACAAGTCATATAAATATGGTATGCTATTACACCCCGGTAGTCGTAACAAGAGAAGGAGTAAGGACAAATGTTGAGACTATCACTAAAGCGAAAGATAACTGTCGAGGAAGGCCTTTAGAGTATATATCAGCATATTGATACGCGGTAAGAATATGAAGAACCCGAATTTCTCCCCAGATGAACTTGTTCTCGAACTAAGTGAATGTCAATTTCAACGTGCTTAGTGTTAGACCCCTTTTTGGCGGGTCTTTATCGAGACATGGTTTGGGCTCGATAGGGTGGCTTTCGGGGCATGGGATGCGGCCAAAGTCATCATGGCAATGGCCAAGGCATAGTTATGCCGCGGCATTGCAACATTGCGAAGAACGGGTAAGGTGGAAGTTTGGCTAAGGCATGGGGACTTAGTCAAGACAAGGCAAGCTAAACCAAGCATGAGGGCAGAACGGTTGGCGTTGCGAGAAACCATGTTCGGTTCATGGGCGGCATGACATGGTTAAGGGAGACTATGGGTGTGCGGGTCCAGCATGTGATCCAAGTGTTGGTGAAGATCAGTGGCATGCGGGGCATGGCTTACGTGATGCTGAACAACAGCTTGGAAGCACAACAAAAGCAAGTGGCTCAAGGTGGCACGTGGGCGACTCAAGGGTAGTGCGTGGTGCGTGGCCAGGCTTGAGCCCGGGGCGTGGCTGTCCTTGGGCAGTCACGACACTTGGGAGCTTCGGTGGCAACGAGGGTTGATTGGCCGTTTGACAAGTGGGACTTGGGCAAGCTGGGCGCAAGGCAACGAGAGTTGGTCACAAGCTCAAGGCAAAGAGTTGGCTCGTGGGTGGCCTGGGTTAGGCCGCGGCATGAGTGCAATCTCGAAGAGGCGTGTCGATTCGGTGCGGCATGACTCAAGTCTGGAAGGGCATGGCGGTTACACGCGAACAGGTGCCTTGGGGCGAACCGGTGGCAAGGCAGTTGAGGGCTTCGGGCGGACAAGTGCTTGGGCAGACCGGAAGGCCGCGGCATTGGGCGGTTGGTAACTGCCACACGCGAAGAGACGCGTCCCTTCAGGCTAGGCAGTTGGCTTGTAACTGCCAGACGTGGCTCGTCTATAAATATGCCGCGGCATAACTGCGAGTTTTGTAGTCTTAGCGAGAGACAGCAGTGTGGCCGAGTGTTTGCAAGTGTGTTAGACATTGTGAGCGTGTTGTATTAGTCCTAGTGTATTAATTGTGAATTAATACAAGGTTGGTCGTTGACCGTAAAGTCGTGTGCCTTTATTCTAAGTGTGTGTTAAAGTGTTGCGTTCCTATTCCCATTTAAGGGTTGCGCCGCGGCATTGGGTGGAAGGCTGACTGTCTTAAGGCGTTAAGGCAGGCCGTACAGGGTGAAAATTCGAGACGTGAATTTTACCGTGTAACAATTGGTATCAGAGCTGATGGCTGAAGATCGTGATTCGTCTGCCGGTGACCAAGGGGTGGAGACTGCGGAGGTGCTGGTTCGTGGGCTGATTGAGGAAGCGCTTAGGCCGGTGTGGGCGCGGCTTAAGGCACTTGAGGCCTCAAGGGCAGACCTGGTAAACGAACTGGAGGCACGCTCTGCCGAGAACGAAGCCACAAAGTCAGAACTTGTGATTGTGAAGAGGGCTCTTGCAGCGGGATTGGTTCCAAGCGCTGAAGTAGGCTCTTCAAAGATCAAAGTGCCGGAGCCGAAGACCTTTGGTGGTGACCGCAATGCCAAGGAGTTGGAGAACTTTCTGTGGGATATGGAAGAATACTTTAAAGCCGCAAAGGTGCCGGACGAAGAGAAGGTGGGGATTGCACCCATGTACTTGTCCGGTGATGCAAAGCTTTGGTGGCGGAGTAGAGTAAGGGACGACGCTAATACGGGAAGACACGGGCTGGAGTCATGGGACGGACTCAAGAAGGAGTTGAAGGCTCAATTCCTTCCCCACAATGTCTCTTGGATGGGCAGGGAAGCCCTGAAGAACTTGAAACACACCACATCGGTGAGGGATTATGTCAAGGCGTTCTCTTCGCTCATGTTAGACATTGAGAACATGACGGAGGAGGACAGGCTGTTCAACTTCGTGTCTGGACTGCAGCCATGGGCCCAGACAGAATTGAGGAGGCAGGCTGTGAAGGATTTGCCGAGTGCCATGGCAGCGGCCGAAGGACTCATGGATTACTCATTGTCCGATGGTTCTAAGGGGAACAAGGGCAAGGGAGAATCAGGAATTTCCGGTTCAAGGGGGACGTTGAAGTGTGACGACATCAGTGCGGCAACGGAAGCGAGTGTGACGAAACCAAAGTCCAAAGCTTGCTGGGGGTGTGGCGGTCAGCACTTGCAGCGGAATTGTCCCGAGAACCAAAAGTTGGCTGCCTTGAAGCAAGTGGAGTCCGAGGAGGATTCTGCGTTGGTGACAGTGAATCCCTTGCGTTTGGTCTGATGGCACCGTGAAAGTCATCAGGGGCACTGTGTGTGTGGACAGTGCGAGTGCCAAGAGGGGCGTGGACTTGGCATAGGTTGCAGGCGTGGGACGTCGGGCAACTGCAGCGGCATTGCTTGGGTATGGCAGTGCAAGGACCGAAGGTCGTGGAGACGCTAAGGTTCGGTGGCATGCTTTTCAGAAGGTGTCACAATGATGGGTCAAGCGTACACAGGGGCTGTGCGGGTTGGACATCATATTTTGGAGAAGCACACAAGGGAGTGGGGCGTTCACCAAAATTGTTGGACGTGGGTCAACATGTTGCTAGTTGGATGGGAGGATCCTTTGGCAGCGGAGCGGAAAGCTCAACGTTTGGACTTGAGATCGTGGGCCAGATCTAAGTTCAAGGCACTTGGAGCGTAGGAAAACGTTAGTGCATGTGGCTGATCAGTGGCACGTTTGGGACGGGGCAGACTGATGCAGTGTGGTCCGGCGTCACACAGGGGTGTGAAGCGTTGTGTTGGCATGGGTATTGCCAACGCAGAGCGGAAGGCTCAAAGCACATGGGATGTGCGCAAGGCTGACAACGGTGCAAGCGGCTTGTAGGCGTTGGGCAGCATAGCTCAAGTGATCATGCGAGGGAGTGTGATGCACGGCGGGGCTTAGCAGCGTGGAGTTGCGAACCTAGCAGTTGGGGTTATCAATTGCAATTGAATTAGTTGCCTATGGCAGGAACTAATTGGAAACCTCGGACGCTGAAGATGTGTCGACGAGGGCGTCGACTTCATCTGGTGGGGGAGGTTTGTTAGACCCCTTTTTGGCGGGTCTTTATCGAGACATGGTTTGGGCTCGATAGGGTGGCTTTCGGGGCATGGGATGCGGCCAAAGTCATCATGGCAATGGCCAAGGCATAGTTATGCCGCGGCATTGCAACATTGCGAAGAACGGGTAAGGTGGAAGTTTGGCTAAGGCATGGGGACTTAGTCAAGACAAGGCAAGCTAAACCAAGCATGAGGGCAGAACGGTTGGCGTTGCGAGAAACCATGTTCGGTTCATGGGCGGCATGACATGGTTAAGGGAGACTATGGGTGTGCGGGTCCAGCATGTGATCCAAGTGTTGGTGAAGATCAGTGGCATGCGGGGCATGGCTTACGTGATGCTGAACAACAGCTTGGAAGCACAACAAAAGCAAGTGGCTCAAGGTGGCACGTGGGCGACTCAAGGGTAGTGCGTGGTGCGTGGCCAGGCTTGAGCCCGGGGCGTGGCTGTCCTTGGGCAGTCACGACACTTGGGAGCTTCGGTGGCAACGAGGGTTGATTGGCCGTTTGACAAGTGGGACTTGGGCAAGCTGGGCGCAAGGCAACGAGAGTTGGTCACAAGCTCAAGGCAAAGAGTTGGCTCGTGGGTGGCCTGGGTTAGGCCGCGGCATGAGTGCAATCTCGAAGAGGCGTGTCGATTCGGTGCGGCATGACTCAAGTCTGGAAGGGCATGGCGGTTACACGCGAACAGGTGCCTTGGGGCGAACCGGTGGCAAGGCAGTTGAGGGCTTCGGGCGGACAAGTGCTTGGGCAGACCGGAAGGCCGCGGCATTGGGCGGTTGGTAACTGCCACACGCGAAGAGACGCGTCCCTTCAGGCTAGGCAGTTGGCTTGTAACTGCCAGACGTGGCTCGTCTATAAATATGCCGCGGCATAACTGCGAGTTTTGTAGTCTTAGCGAGAGACAGCAGTGTGGCCGAGTGTTTGCAAGTGTGTTAGACATTGTGAGCGTGTTGTATTAGTCCTAGTGTATTAATTGTGAATTAATACAAGGTTGGTCGTTGACCGTAAAGTCGTGTGCCTTTATTCTAAGTGTGTGTTAAAGTGTTGCGTTCCTATTCCCATTTAAGGGTTGCGCCGCGGCATTGGGTGGAAGGCTGACTGTCTTAAGGCGTTAAGGCAGGCCGTACAGGGTGAAAATTCGAGACGTGAATTTTACCGTGTAACAATTGGTATCAGAGCTGATGGCTGAAGATCGTGATTCGTCTGCCGGTGACTAAGGGGTGGAGACTGCGGAGGTGCTGGTTCGTGGGCTGATTGAGGAAGCGCTTAGGCCGGTGTGGGCGCGGCTTAAGGCACTTGAGGCCTCAAGGGCAGACCTGGTAAACGAACTGGAGGCACGTTCTGCCGAGAACGAAGCCACAAAGTCAGAACTTGTGATTGTGAAGAGGGCTCTTGCAGCGGGATTGGTTCCAAGCGCTGAAGTAGGCTCTTCAAAGATCAAAGTGCCGGAGCCGAAGACCTTTGGTGGTGACCGCAATGCCAAGGAGTTGGAGAACTTTCTGTGGGATATGGAAGAATACTTTAAAGCCGCAAAGGTGCCGGACGAAGAGAAGGTGGGGATTGCACCCATGTACTTGTCCGGTGATGCAAAGCTTTGGTGGCGGAGTAGAGTAAGGGACGACGCTAATACGGGAAGACACGGGCTGGAGTCATGGGACGGACTCAAGAAGGAGTTGAAGGCTCAATTCCTTCCCCACAATGTCTCTTGGATGGGCAGGGAAGCCCTGAAGAACTTGAAACACACCACATCGGTGAGGGATTATGTCAAGGCGTTCTCTTCGCTCATGTTAGACATTGAGAACATGACGGAGGAGGACAGGCTGTTCAACTTCGTGTCTGGACTGCAGCCATGGGCCCAGACAGAATTGAGGAGGCAGGCTGTGAAGGATTTGCCGAGTGCCATGGCAGCGGCCGAAGGACTCATGGATTACTCATTGTCCGATGGTTCTAAGGGGAACAAGGGCAAGGGAGAATCAGGAATTTCCGGTTCAAGGGGGACGTTGAAGTGTGACGACATCAGTGCGGCAACGGAAGCGAGTGTGACGAAACCAAAGTCCAAAGCTTGCTGGGGGTGTGGCGGTCAGCACTTGCAGCGGAATTGTCCCGAGAACCAAAAGTTGGCTGCCTTGAAGCAAGTGGAGTCCGAGGAGGATTCTGCGTTGGTGACAGTGAATCCCTTGCGTTTGGTCTGATGGCACCGTGAAAGTCATCAGGGGCACTGTGTGTGTGGACAGTGCGAGTGCCAAGAGGGGCGTGGACTTGGCATAGGTTGCAGGCGTGGGACGTCGGGCAACTGCAGCGGCATTGCTTGGGTATGGCAGTGCAAGGACCGAAGGTCGTGGAGACGCTAAGGTTCGGTGGCATGCTTTTCAGAAGGTGTCACAATGATGGGTCAAGCGTACACAGGGGCTGTGCGGGTTGGACATCATATTTTGGAGAAGCACACAAGGGAGTGGGGCGTTCACCAAAATTGTTGGACGTGGGTCAACATGTTGCTAGTTGGATGGGAGGATCCTTTGGCAGCGGAGCGGAAAGCTCAACGTTTGGACTTGAGATCGTGGGCCAGATCTAAGTTCAAGGCACTTGGAGCGTAGGAAAACGTTAGTGCATGTGGCTGATCAGTGGCACGTTTGGGACGGGGCAGACTGATGCAGTGTGGTCCGGCGTCACACAGGGGTGTGAAGCGTTGTGTTGGCATGGGTATTGCCAACGCAGAGCGGAAGGCTCAAAGCACATGGGATGTGCGCAAGGCTGACAACGGTGCAAGCGGCTTGTAGGCGTTGGGCAGCATAGCTCAAGTGATCATGCGAGGGAGTGTGATGCACGGCGGGGCTTAGCAGCGTGGAGTTGCGAACCTAGCAGTTGGGGTTATCAATTGCAATTGAATTAGTTGCCTATGGCAGGAACTAATTGGAAACCTCGGACGCTGAAGATGTGTCGACGAGGGCGTCGACTTCATCTGGTGGGGGAGGTTTGTTAGACCCCTTTTTGGCGGGTCTTTATCGAGACATGGTTTGGGCTCGATAGGGTGGCTTTCGGGGCATGGGATGCGGCCAAAGTCATCATGGCAATGGCCAAGGCATAGTTATGCCGCGGCATTGCAACATTGCGAAGAACGGGTAAGGTGGAAGTTTGGCTAAGGCATGGGGACTTAGTCAAGACAAGGCAAGCTAAACCAAGCATGAGGGCAGAACGGTTGGCGTTGCGAGAAACCATGTTCGGTTCATGGGCGGCATGACATGGTTAAGGGAGACTATGGGTGTGCGGGTCCAGCATGTGATCCAAGTGTTGGTGAAGATCAGTGGCATGCGGGGCATGGCTTACGTGATGCTGAACAACAGCTTGGAAGCACAACAAAAGCAAGTGGCTCAAGGTGGCACGTGGGCGACTCAAGGGTAGTGCGTGGTGCGTGGCCAGGCTTGAGCCCGGGGCGTGGCTGTCCTTGGGCAGTCACGACACTTGGGAGCTTCGGTGGCAACGAGGGTTGATTGGCCGTTTGACAAGTGGGACTTGGGCAAGCTGGGCGCAAGGCAACGAGAGTTGGTCACAAGCTCAAGGCAAAGAGTTGGCTCGTGGGTGGCCTGGGTTAGGCCGCGGCATGAGTGCAATCTCGAAGAGGCGTGTCGATTCGGTGCGGCATGACTCAAGTCTGGAAGGGCATGGCGGTTACACGCGAACAGGTGCCTTGGGGCGAACCGGTGGCAAGGCAGTTGAGGGCTTCGGGCGGACAAGTGCTTGGGCAGACCGGAAGGCCGCGGCATTGGGCGGTTGGTAACTGCCACACGCGAAGAGACGCGTCCCTTCAGGCTAGGCAGTTGGCTTGTAACTGCCAGACGTGGCTCGTCTATAAATATGCCGCGGCATAACTGCGAGTTTTGTAGTCTTAGCGAGAGACAGCAGTGTGGCCGAGTGTTTGCAAGTGTGTTAGACATTGTGAGCGTGTTGTATTAGTCCTAGTGTATTAATTGTGAATTAATACAAGGTTGGTCGTTGACCGTAAAGTCGTGTGCCTTTATTCTAAGTGTGTGTTAAAGTGTTGCGTTCCTATTCCCATTTAAGGGTTGCGCCGCGGCATTGGGTGGAAGGCTGACTGTCTTAAGGCGTTAAGGCAGGCCGTACAGGGTGAAAATTCGAGACGTGAATTTTACCGTGTAACACTTAGTGCGTTGATGTTGAACATGATTGCTCGAGAGATATACAAGACTAATGTTATCACAGTAGACGATAATAGCTCATCGAAGAGGGGGATGAAGTTCGAGAAGGAGATTGTGTGACCAACAAGACTCAGCAACAACGTTGGCAACTCTTCTATATTCATCTTCGGCACTGGAGGGGTGATGTGTGTTTTCTCGCACTTAAAATAGTTGTAGAAAAGTGGTTGAAAGTACGAGTATCGTCTCCACAGGGACGAACAAAAGGGAATTAAAAGATTAACTAAATTAAGCGATTAAACAGAAATAAATAAATTAAAATGCGATGTGCGAGATTGATTGATTGAATTAAAATTAAAACTAATGCTAATGAGCGATAAAAATAAAAGATTGGTTTCTTCTTAATTAACGACGAAGGGAACATGAATTGATTCCGGGGTAACCAGATTTCTGGCAGATCAGGCCTAATTACATGAATTTAATTTAATTGAGCCTAGCTAATCATTACTAAGTTCTTACCGCTCTCGCGGCGAAGAGTACAATAATTTAGGGGTCCAGGCTGATCTCTCATGCGACAAGATCCTAAATTATTGTCAAAACGAGCGAGCTTACGGCCCCTTAATCGCTACTAATCTCTTAGCGAACGATTAAGTGTGTGTGAATGTGTCCTAGAACAAATTAGATCTCTCTTAATTTATTCTATAAGCAATTGTAATTCTAGTGGCCATCTAGGTTACAAGTGATATCAGTTAAATTATTCAAACACAAATTAAACGGCATTCATGCAATTAAACCGAAAAGAATCTAGCCATCAATCCTGATTAACCCCTTCATCAACCCCAAATCCCTAATTAAACTACTCACAATTCATAATTGAAGAATCAACAGAATTGAGATGAATAGAATTAATTGTCATTAATTAAAAAAGATGAACTTACAAATAATCCCAGGGTCTTGGAAGAAAATAGCGTAAAAACGGTGTTAAATTCGTCCCTAGGCCTCTCCGTAATGTTCGTAACCCCTAAAAAGGGTTAGGGAGGCCTTATTTATAGAAAAAGGGGGAAAAACCGAGTTTGGGCCGAAGTAGGAATTTTCCGCGCGTGGCACGAAGCTACGCACGATCGTGCGTCCCTGCCTACGCACGATCGTGCGCAGGCAAACTCTTCAACGCGTTTTCGTAATGGACGCACGATCGTGCGTCCCAGACGCACGACCGTGCGTCTGACTTTTTCGCTTCGTTTTCTTGTTTTCTTGCTTCAAACGTGCCCGGATTCAAACGAGGTCGATCCCAATGCTCTTTCTTCATCAAAATTTCGCTGTGAATCACCCGGTGACCTCCAAATCTCTCAATTCCTCCTTGAATGCTCTCTAACTCCTCCCGATTGTCTCTTTAACGCCGATTGCCGGACTCTAACTTCTTCAAATCAACTCCAAATGCAACGAAACTCGATCCAACGCCTGCTAAACACAACTTGAGCCAAATTTGAGACTTGCAACGCCTTAAAGCCAAGAAAATCATCAAAATCCGACCCGAACACGCATCAAATGCGTGTCTAAATACGGACTTATCAAGGGGGAGACAGTAGGTTGTCATTTAGAAGACCACTGAATGAGGTTTTCTCCAAGAAAAATTCAAAATCAAGAAGTTGATCGTCGAGAATCCGGGCAGTCGGCCCAATTAACATCAGAGTAAGCAGTGAGACTGGAGATACGCCCGGAGGAGATGAAGAATCCATGAACAATTGTACCTTTTAAATAACGTATGATTCACTTGAGCGTCTAAGAAGAGGTTCGCGTGGATCATGCATAAATAGGCATACTTGCTGGACTGCAAAAGAAACACTACAAACAAAGTAACATTTATTGACTCACAAAAAGTGTCGAGAAAAATAGGAAAAGTGTCAAGATAGACACCCCTAGGGAATTGCCAACACACTTGAAAAGTGTCAAGAGGAAAGGTGTTAGGAAAACTCATTACTAACACTCATATACAAGTGTTGGTAAATCTCTATATAGCTTTAGTGACACACAACTGATCCAAACCTTACACAATTTCTGTGTGTCAAGGAAGCTTTAAGGTGACACTCGAGTGTCAAGAAAAATCACGTTGAATAATCGTTTCTGGACAATACGCTAAATATAATTATTTCTATTATCGTATACGTTTGTGACATCAATGTAGGATATTATAAACCATTTTCATACTAAAACATTCAAATTCAAATAAGTATGTAGTATGTTATTCAAATTTATTTAAAAATCAATACAAACTAAGTAGAGAAGACTAGTTCGTAGTTTGAAACATACAAATTCAAATACGTTGTTCAATCAAGAAAAACTATCTACTAAATCTCTAACTTTGTCCTTCGGGTTGATGGCTTCCAGTTGATGACCTATCACGTATTGGAGAAAGTTCACCACTAACCTGAAAATATCACCACAAAAATAATATAAAATTTAACATGTAACTTTTTTTTTATCATTTGTCATAGTCAATTTTGTGTATCTAAAGGGGAAGTTAGGAACTATTCGTAGTATTAAAATGCCAATTATTTAGAGGGAGAAAATCCAAAAACCTAGAAGGCCTACAAAAACACAACCATTGTTAAACCAATGTTCCAACAAAGGTTGTTGGCTAAATCATGTAAGGTAAGGAGTCAGAAAACATATCACCCAACTAGCCGTATAACAAGTCAAGAAATTGTAAACAGTACAAAGAATAGGCTGGCTCAAAATTTTACTCTAAAAAAAGCTGGCTCCAAATTCGTTCTCAACAGATTTTAACACTTTCACAGTCTATTCTTTAGAATATATTTTTAGAGCAGTTTATTTCTATATTAATTGTAAGCAGTACAAAATAATTAAGAATAAGAACACCGCAAAGATTTCTTTAATCTAATAAACATGCAATTATCTCTATTATGTTATCTCACTAGCTTTATATCATTAATATGCATGTAAATTATAAGTTAAAGTGAAGCACATTTACCTCATTTTTCAAATCATTGAGAATTGCACATAATTGCTCAGGAGGCAAATTCTTTTTGAAAGCACCTAATAGCAT